GGGGTTCTAGAATATCAGAGGACATGTGATGTGGAAGGGCACCTTCACCTCAGTATATGACTTGATTGGCACTGGACCACACTAGATTGAGATTGTCCCCAAAGAAGGTTGAGGAACATGGTGAAAGTCAATGTTACATATGTATATTTCCATTTCCAGAAGCAAACCATACCACACTATATGCATAGACCTGTACCTTACTTTTATCACTTAACATTACACTGTGGAGACCTATTTTACATTAATGCATATAAATTTACCTAATCTTCTTAATGACCTTATAGTATTCTACTGAATAGAAGTACCATATTAAGATATTTCCTATGTTTTGCAACTACACAACAGTGAAAAATCTTTGTGTATGTGTGAGAGTATTATCTGTAACATATTCATCTAGAAATAGAATTATTGGGCCAAAAAGAACTCTTTGGGTTATGTAAAAATGACCACCTAGAAGTATAATTATTGGATCAAAGGGAAAATATTTCTTAGGTGCCTAAATATTTATTAGGTACTAAGCATGATGGCAGGTACTGGGGGTAAACCAAAGTAGAAGTTAGGCTTGATCCCTGCCATCATAAAATTTTACATTCTCTTGGAGGTACAGATCTTAAAAAGTTAACAAATACTTATAAACTGCAACATGCTATGGAGAAAATAAAGGGCTAGAGATAGTAATACAGTGGTCTCATTTAATGTCGCATTTAATATCTCTGTGCTTTTAAATTTCAATAGATACTGCAACATTGCCTTCCAAATAAAATGCACCAGTTCACACACCTATATCGCCATCAATATTGTACTTTAAACCTTTGGATCTTTGCCAATCTGATACTTAAAAAGTGGCATTTCATTTTTTCATTTAAGAGTAAGGTTGAGCAGCATATATGTATAAACATATATACATAATACATATGAATCTTTTGTAATTCTTTGTGTGTGTGACATACCCACATTAGAACTTTTGTCCATTTTCCTAGTGGGTTGGCCTTTTTTTTAATTGATAAGAATTCTTCACATAATAAATTATCTCTATCACACATCTTGCTGATATTTTTCCCCTTTACTTGCTTTTCTAATTCTTTTTTGGATGTGATTGATCATAATGCCATTTAAGGCCTAAAAAGATTCCATAACACTAGCCAAATACCTTTGTCTTTCTTACTTCAGAAAAAGATACAGCTGAGAAGCTGTGGCTTCCAAGTAAGCCAAGGTAAAAATGTGCTTTATCAAAGTAATAGAATATACAAAACACAACAAATAGTATGTGTAATGCTGTATTGCCAATGGGTTTCAGCTCTAGGCAAGTTCACTATGGATTCAATGTGACCACAGAAATGACAGTAGAACGTTTTTGGGACGAAAGGGTTTATACCCAACTTTATTTCCATGGTGGCAGGTCAATCCTAGAATCCTGTCTACATAGAGCAAGTCTGCATGTAGCAGGCCAGCCTCTTCCTCTGGGCCTCTCTTTCAGCACAGTCATCCTCTGGGTCTCTCCGCCCACACAGCTAACCCAGTCTCTGTCCAACAAGCTGTCACCACTCCAGCCTCTGCAGGGCTCTTTATATAGAGTCAATAATGATGCATTGCCCACACGTGTGTACTGAGCCAGCCAACCAGGGCCAGGTGAGAATCCTGGCCACAGGAACCTTCCCTTTACCCACAAATGCCTACAGCACAGTTCTCATAAGAGCATTTTGTGTGGTTCAGTATATTTAATTTGCTGTTTAATGTTGCTATTAGAGAGGAACTTGGCCAGTAAATCTGCCTTTAAAAAGATTTTGAGACTTGGAATTTTACTGTGGATCATTTTATCTCAGGGGAGCTAACAAAAGAAGTCAGCTTCATTTTTAAAATAGTTTTGCACAGAATATGTGGTTATAGGTTGTGGAAAAGGAGAAAACAGCACTGCATAAATTCCATATCATGTTTAGGTGCCAAGAAACAATCAGAATCACTTTTAAACTCTGCTTAAGTAGGAAGTTGAATGGATCAAACAGCTTGTCTTAACCAGCAGTTACACTGAGTTTGATTCAGTGTTGAGAAACAGCACTGGTGAAGAAAGGAAACTGGTGAGGCTACTGCTGATTAATTTACAATTGATAAACTTCTTGAGACATCATCCACTTTCTCATGGGCTATTAATTTATGACTTTATGGAATTGTCTAAAATAGTGTTTGACAGACTATAAAAACTCCCTCACTAGCATAAGGGGCCCTAATGGGTATTTCATTACCTGTTTGTTTTTTAAGTTTTAGCACAAGGGAAGATATTTCTTACCCATAGCTATCAGCAATTTAGGGTTAGCAGTAAAAAGCATAGATTCGGCAAATTGCTATCTTTTTTATTCTTAACCTCACAAGTTCAGCTGGATTTCTATGAAAATACCAGTAAGATTTCACCATCAAGCATGAGGGAAGCTTTTGGTTTGAGAGTTATTTATTATTTTGCCATATACAGTACCCCCATTTTATTAGGAGTTTCCCCTTTTAGTCAGAAATTCATGTTGAATTTTATTAAATGACTTTTTTAAAAATTTTATTTTGGTATCATTAATCTTTAAATGACTTTTTAATGTTTGTTGAAATCATATGATTTTACTTTATGAACCTGTTAATATGATGATTTAAAATTACAGATTCCTTAAGATTAAATATGGGTTAAGTTTGTTGGATTCACTTAAAGGTTTTTGATTATTTTTTGATTATTTAAAACAAACACTGTTCACATTGTTTTGTATTTCAAAATTCAGAATGATGAAAGAGATCTTGCTATATGTGTGTAAACAGGAAGAACAGAAAGCATCATTACAAAAAGATAACTTGTTACTCAGGCTACAGCATAGTAGTATGACTTGTAATGCAATAGTGGCTGTACTGATTATACTTTTCTGTATGGAAAGCCTTTATTTTGAATATACTATGAATCGACCTGATGGAAATATACATAGGACCACTTTTACAAAAATGAGGATAATGCTGGAAAATGAAAATCTCAAGTTTGAAAATTGATTTTTATTAGCAATATGTAGTCTGTCCTGGTAAAAATTGTATTTTTATTTATTTTCATCTTATCTACCTCTACCCTAACCAAAACATACAGACGACTTAAATTAAAAATGCACACCTTGAATTTTTTTAAAAATTATTTTATGTTAAGCTACATTAAG